ATAATGCAATTAAGCAAGAAACGAAAATTCTGAAGGACGAAAACTGGAAAAACAAACAACCAGGCAAACAAACAGAAAAGATCAAAAGGAAACTAATCGACGCAAAGGAAATTATCCCAAACCTGCTTCGGCAAGAACTTCATGAACTCGAACAACCTTGAAGAAGAAAGTGAACCTTTGACGGTCATTAATCGGTTGTCCTTAACAAAAGACAAACGATTAATGACGGTTTTGGGTTCACTTAACCTTGCTAAGACAGAAAGGAACTCAGGGAGAGACTTGGCTATCTGGACCTCTGCTCTACCACTGACGGACCATTTTGAAATGAAACAAACACATATTTGAGGCAAGAAGGAGATGAGGGGTTGCATGGTGTGATTCTGGGTGGATCTGGGAATTTTTAGGGTTTCAGGTGCTAACCTCAGATCTGAGATTCGAGGCGATGGAAGGGGATTTGAGAGGAACTTTTTGGAGATTTGGGATGGGGAGATGGAAGGGAGTTCATGGTGTTAATTTGGTGGCGAGTGGACGCCGGCGCCGCCACCGGACGGTGGGGAATTCTGGGGCTGCTACTAGGGTTTGGGGGGCAGGTTTCTGAAGTCGGGGGTGTTGGGACGATGAAATGGAGGGTGGGGGTGCGTTCGGACATATATATACTCCCCAGGCTTTAGTTCCGAGCCGTTCGATCAAGTGGAGATCAACGGCTCAGATCGACGCTGATCGAAACGATGTCGTTTCGTTTGAGGGGGGATCCGGACCGGGTCAGGCGTGGGTTGGGCCGGGTATTGGGTGGCTTCATTTGGGCTGGGACTGTTGGATCGGATTTGAGCCCACATCTGAACCTTCTTTACTTCCTTCCTTTTTCCAATTCATTTTTTCTTTCTTTTTCTTTTTAACAAAAATCTTTTTCTTTTCCAAAATTGAAATTTAAAACTTAAAATTGAATCCTAAACCAAATTATCCTACCATATTAAATTAATTAACCCTAATAATTGTTACTACTAATAATAATCAAATTAAAGGGAAAAACTACCAAAATTCGACATTAAAATTAAAAGTGCAAAATAAACTATTTTTGTGATTTTTCCCATTTTTATAAAATAATTGATTTGTCTATTAATCCTAAAATGTAAAATTAAATCCTAAATGCAAACTGCAACATATTTTTTGTATTTTATCATCAATTAAAATGCACAAACAAAATGCAAACAATTAACAGAAAATGCCACAAAATCCGACAAAATTGTAAACACTGACAGAAATTATTTTGTTTTGAATTTATCGGAATAATACATATAGAGCAAAAATCACGTGCTCACAACTCATACATGCATGTAACGTAATATAGCTAATAGCTATTGTGGTGCATTCTTCTTTCCCTTCGCGTTACGTGATTTGAAGTGCAAACACGATGATAGGAACTTGAATACACACTCAAGAATGTGAGTTTGAATTTATTAAATATTTCCACTGAATTTAAAAATAAGTTCACCCTAAAAAATTTAAGGTAATGCGTAAGGTGGTCATAACCGAGGGGAGCTACCATTCCGATTACATGTTTAGCAGCAGTAGCTTTAACTCAAATTCTGTATTTATGTTAAAAAAAACAACTTGATATGTATAAATAATTCTTTCAAATCCAATAAGCTATCTTTTTAAAAATTTGAAACTTATAAACTTAAAATCCTAACTCAGTTTATGATCATAAGCCTTTATAAACTATATATAACTCCGATATACTAGAAAACATCCATAGAATAGATACAAACAAAAAAGGAAAAGAACTGGCCGGTGAGATGAGTTGGGGGTTTGGAGAAGAGTAGTTGTGATTGAATAGTAGTATAATACTTAGTCAGTTGTAGTATAGTGAGCGAGGAAAGTGGCAGTGCATTGGATTCTCTGAACAAATGTAAATGGGACATTGGCCTCTGAAAAACACAGCTGTGAAAAAACAGTCCTTCTATATCCCAATATCCATTGTGAAAAGCCAGAGGTTTTGAATAAAACGATCAAAAATGCTGGTGCAATGATGTTTTAAATTGAAGGAAATACTATAGTTATTTGTTGGTGGATGTCATAGCTGTCAGAGTTCAGACGGTGTTGTTTGGCTGCATACTAAAAGTTACCAGCATTTTTATATGCTGCCACGAGGGGAATAAATATTGAAATACTTGAAGAAAAAGTGAGTTGGGAAAAGAGCTCTCTATCCATAGTCCAGTCCCTAGCATTCAGCTAATTTGTTTGTCAGCTAATCCCGTATTCGTACTTTTGAAAACTGCCCCATATCGTATTTGAGTGATAAATGTAATCTGACGGTGTTGTAACAGCCCTGGTTTGAAATGAATCCTTCTAGTTTAAGAACCTGAATTACTCTTTTGGTACGAGTAACAAGGAATAATTAATCTTTAACAAGAGTTTATCTCATGTTTGATTGGAAGAAAATTGTAATATAATTAATTTTGGAATTAATTTATCTCGAGATTATAGTATTTTTTTATTGCCATGAAAAGGTGAAACAACTAATCCCGGGATAACATCTTTCCAACCAAACGACCCCTAGGAAAAACAACATAACATCTACTATTTCTTCGTAATAATGGATTAGCTTAATATAGAATGCCTTTTTAGAAAAATCAGCTGTATATACAACTCTAGTAGAAGACAATTAAGTATGCAAACGAGGACTAGAGCCATTGCATGTTGCTCAATCCTGTTATCAACCAAAACGCTCTGCGTCAAGTTCAGTCCCTTTGAGCCTCAGACAGTCTGCTGTCAATATGGGCTGGCCCAGCCTAGCCCATAATTTAGTAGGGCTGGACTAGAATTTTTGGAGCCCGTTTAAAAACGAGGCTTTTAATCCTGGCCCGAGTAAATTCGTGGCTCGTGAGGCTTGACTGAGGCTGGGTCGGGCCAACCCGTGGGCCTAATAAAATATTTATTTAAAATATAAAAAATAAAAAGTATACTGTCTTTAGAGATGAAAAGTCAGAATTGGATTTTTATTAAGAGGAACCAAAACTTGATCTTGAGAAGTTTCAAGAGATGATGTTGTCATGTATTGGAAGGACCATTCTAGAAAATATCCTGATCTTTCAATGATGGTGCGTGATGTACTTAGCATTCTTATTACCATTGTACCATCGGAATCGACATTTAGCATTGGTGGCGTGTTCTTATAAAGTACAGAAGTTGCATTTATTGTGAAAATGTCCAAACACTTGTTACTACTTGAAATTGACTGCACAGGTTTTCTCGAACTCAAACTGGTAATATTTTTTTATGTGAATTTAAATATTATTAATTTTTAAAATTTAATTATTTTTAATATTTAACTAATTAATATTGCATATGAATTGTAGATGAAAATGAAGATGTTAAGACAACCTTGTCACAAGCGGATTCAAATGTGTTTGATGAAGATGATGTGTTGGATATCTTATAAGCATCATGAACGTTCTCTTGAATAGTTTGTTTTAAGTTAGACTTTTAGTGAATGAAATATAGTCTTGTCTTTTACTTTTTTTAGTATTTATTGTGATATATTGGAACAATATAAAAAGTTATTAAGTTTTACAAATTTTTTCCAATAAGATATTTTTTAACTTTTAAATAATTATCTTTTTTTAGGTCAGAACTTAAAGAAAAAATATAAAATTATAACTTTAAAAATGATGGGCCAGCCTGTAGGGGCCCGCGGCCCACATAGGGCTGGGGTGGGCTAACCATTATAAGGCCCATCAAAATGGTGAGCTAGCCCAGCCCAACCCATCAATTGCTAAAGCCCAAGTGGGCTGGGCTAGGCTAGCCCGGCCCATATTGACAGCTCTACAGACTGCGCATCAGCATATAAGCTGGTGAATCCGATGAATCCTAAGTTTGGCGAAAGCAGTACAGACTTGACGTCTCACCACACTCAGTACTAAAAGCACAACAACAACCCAATATAATCTTATGTGTGGGGTCTGGGAAGGGTAGTGTGTACGCTGACCTTACCCCTACCCGGGGGTAGGGAGGTTGATTCCGAATTTGTACTAAAAGCACAATCTTGAAATTATGAACTCCAGTTTGAGATGAATAGGCAAATAGGCTTGATGAAGTATAGGAAAAATGCATAGATCATCCCAAACAAGCATACCTGTACCTGCTGCTTTTAATATAAACCACTAATGGTTCATTTAGTCTACAAAGTAAAGCATCCTTGTATGTAAACGGAAGAGACATATCAACTCATCATTGTCGATGTTGAGAGAATTATAGAACTCTTTTCCTCTTGCTTCCTTTATCTCCTTACCTATCAATTTGCCTGTTCAGAACCATTATACAGTAGTTCAATGGTACCATACCCTGCCAATGTGAAGCTCTACCGTCTACCAAGATAGGGCGACAACTGTATAATGAGGCTAATATCTCTAGACTCAAATAAGATGATCTAAGGAACAATGGCGTAAAATGGTGGTTGGAATGTCGAAGAGTAAAAACAAGTTAGAGAAAAAAACTCAAGCTGAAAACAACATCCAATGGCGCTATACTTAAATTTATTACCATCTAAAATGGAACGTGTAGGAAAGATACACCAGCCAAATGTTTGCAGTTAGAGAAAGAAAACATTAACAAAGAAGAGCAAGTTCCTACATTTAAGATAAACCATTTCAGTTACTATGCGTGACGAAGCCCAATGATTTTACTATCACAATTATTTGCTGTAGTTATAGCTTTATCTCTTGTGCATATGAGAAGGCGATCAAAAAATATGCAAACACAGCCCTCATGGAAGTGTAGCTCTGACTTCTTTCCTATCTGCTCCACAGGCCTGAAAAGAACAAACATTGATAGACGTCATCAAAACATTCTAAACCTACTGTAATTCACCCAGAAAAGAATAGCTCCTTAACAAGACATTCACTTTGTAAGTTGTTCTTCCATTCACTATTTGAATAGTTATACTGTTTCAAGTTACATTGGAGTATAATGTAATCAACAACTCCCAATAAAATCTGAACTGACAAGAACCATGTTACCTCTCTAAAGATTAGTTAACCACTCATTGCCACAGTTCAATTAGCTCATATCCTAAAGCTATCATATTAGCACTTCCAGTTCATTTAAGGCAATAAAGCAAAAATTGCAGAAGAAATCACTCAAGGGCTCGTTCAACACATGCAACTGCAATCACAAAGGCTACGTAGTTACAGAACACTGAACCAACATCTTAGATTGACCTTAAAAAAAGCATAGTGGAGAGGTACCAACTGCTACATTCAATGGCCCTATATTGTTCCTTGGTTTAGGGAATTTAGGGTTTAAAAGTCCCCTCTACGCTCAATGGTCAGATTAGAGCATCAAACCCGTCAACTTAATTTCATCAAGAAAAACCCTAGAGAACCTTTTCTTCTGTGTGAATCGATATTATACCATTCCAATTCAACTTAAATCCATAGGCCACACTTATAATAGAGAAGATTGTGTTGAACTCCCAGTTCACTGTAGCTCCTTTTGTATACAATAATAAAAGAGGCACAACGCGATGACAAATTGACAAAAGGGTACTTTATCACATGGAAACTAATGGATACCTATATGAATAAATGAATTAATCACTTGTCAAAATACTCTCAGCAAAATACCAGCAAGCACCAGTGATTAAAAAATTATCAAGCCCCGCATGCTACTCTAGTTACAAAGAGTTATCCCTTCTTAGTATACTGTCAAATAGAAAGTAAGGCCAATAACCACTATTGACACAAAAACTGATCCATTTGCGTGAGCTAGTCTCCATAAAGCTTGTGAAGTAAGTTTTCCTTGGTCTGGGAATTCAACAACAACCCAATGTAATCCCACAAGTGGGGTCCGGGAAGGGTAGTGTGTACGCAGACCTTATTCCTACCTTACAAAGATAGAGAGAGGTTGTTTCCGGTAGACCCTCAGCTCAAGGAACAGTGAAACTAAAGCAACAAACTATTGCAACAAGAAGATAGCAGGGTACTAGAAGCGAATAACACAACAGGTACGAATGCGAAACAGGAATAAGAAAATACAACATTAGAACTAGTAATACAGGCAAGCCTAGGTCAACCTCTCTATTCAATGGTCAGATTACAGCAACAAACCCATCAACTTAATTCCATAGGCCACTCTTATAAAAGTGAAGATCGTGTGAAACTGCCAGTTTTGAACAGTTACAATAGAGGCAACAAGACACAACAAAAGGAACAGGGTACTCGGGAGCAACTATGGTTATATGAATAAAAAGGTGTATATCACTTGTCAAAGTGCTCTTAGTAGAATAGTAGGAGTTTATTAAATCAGTTGCAGATTTCCCAAGTGCTCATATAATGTGCTCCAATGAAAATTGTGCAATCATCACTTGATTTCTAGATGATCCAGTTGCCAGTAAATAATTTAGAAGGGAAAACTGATGATTAGAACAATTACATACCTCAACTCCAAACCCTTTCACATATACATTGGTAAAGAGCTCAGAAGGGTCAGGCATGGGACTCTCCTGGAAAACAGTATAAGAAGTTACTAGTCAGCTACTATCTTTATTTATTACAGAAAAAAAAAGCAGCTGCCATATTTAAAATTACTAAAGAAGAGAAGATAAAAGCACCACCCTCACCTTTGCTTTAGCAATGGCTTCATCTACAATTTTTCTCTTTTCTTTCTCAATATCCTGGAGAGAAGGAACAAAAACCGACAAAACAGTTAGAGGTCCTCTGAAGATCGAGGTGACATAAAAAACATGGTTTCCCCAAGTACAAGCTTTAGAAAGTCGTCTATACCTTCAGCTCCTTCTCTGTGGCTATATCATGGGCTAATATGAGTTTCCTGATTCTTTCAATAGGATCACGTTCCTGAAAAATTAAAGATAATCTTGTTAAGCTTTTATGCGAAGCATTTGCGAGCTGAGATGTATTAGATAGTCTACAGAATGTATTGACCTGTCTAACACCACTAATTTCATCACGAGTTCGGTAAGTGCTTCCTGGATCAGACATAGAGTGACCATGGTACCTATAGGTGTCCATTTCAAGAATCTGAACAAAATTGAAAGAAACATAAACATATTAGAATATGCTAAAAATGAAGTAAAAGAAAAGAATACTAATGTATGAATATAACTGACGTTGAATTCAGCAAGAAATTACATAATACAACCCCCCCCCCCCCAAACCCACCCCCCACAAAACAAAAAAAAAACTTAGCATAAGCCTCAATGCAAGACATGTCCTAGGGTCTGGATCATTTCCATGTATTGATCTTAGCGTTTTCCAAACTTCATTTTAACCATCTCAGTTAGTGTTCCTTTCACAAATAAAAGAAAAAAGAAACTAATAAACATGTGCAGCCCAAAAAGAATGAACAACTAAAGCACATTTAGGAAAAAATTAATGTGCATTATATGTGACACTGTAAACGAAAGATAAAGTACTAAGAAGCATTAGCATAATTGCTACCAATTACTCATAAGGTGCCGGCGGAGTCCTAAAAGAAACATCGGCCGATCCCTTGTCGGCATAATTGCTAATTTCTACCAATTACAGATACCTCAAATTCGTTATATGTAGAAAAATTCATCGGTGATGAGCTTATGGATCCTATTAACCAATAAAATAAAAGATAAATAAGCAAAAAAAAAATGTTAAGAGCCCTTCTTTGAAACAACAACAACGCCTCAATCTCAAACAAGTTGGGGTCAACTTAATGAATCCTCACCGACAATGTCGCTCTATTTAACTTTTCCAAAATTCACAAACTAAGCCCATTACCTAGAAAATACTCAAGTAACATTTTAATATTGCATTTGGTAATCCAAGTCCTTCCATCAAGGATTCTAGGCAGAAACGTCGGCATTAATGCTGCTTGGTGGGTCGGGCCTGAACCGGACCGGGCCCGCGGTCCTAACGGGCCTGGTGGTCCTGAGAAGCCCGTGACGGGCCGGTCTTCATAGATTAGCCCACGAGCCCGGGACCGTCAGCCGGGCCTGGCGGGCCTAACGGGCCCAACAGATTTTTTTTTAAAAAAAATAAAAATTTTTGTATACACATAACATACAAAATATATAAGGTAATATATACACCTAACATACAATATATACTACAAGAAAATATATAAGTAATAATTTATAATATATATACATAAGATACAATATATATACTACAAGAAAATATATAAGAGAATATATATACATAACATACAATATATACTACAACAACATATATAAGAGGATATATATATACATAACATACAATATATACTACAAGAGAATATATATACATAACATACAATATATACTACAACAACATATATAAGAGGATATATATATACATAACATACAATATATATTACAAGAAAATATACAAGAGAATATATATACATAACATACAATACTACAAGACAATATATAAGATAATATGTATACATAACATACAATATATACTACAAGAAAATATATAAGAGGATATATATATACATAACATACAATATATACTACAAGACAATATACAAGAGAATATATATACATAACATACAATATATACTACAACAACATATATAAGAGGATATATATATACATAACATACAATACTACAAGACAATATAT